TTGTAATTTAGCAAAGTATAATAAACAGTGCAAAAGTCATGAATTTTCCTCTGCATCCTGAGCTCTGTGGTAGGGAAAATGTGATAAAATGTGTACCTTAAGTCTTGTTTGATGATCTCTCAAAGCAAGTTTGCCTTCTGGAAATAATTTCTGGGGTTGAAGAGCATGGTATTAACAGATTTAATGTGGCTATTCAATGGATTGGTGGAGTACTATGTGAGGTTTAACAAAATGAGAGAGACAAATTGAACATCAACAAAACCTACATCTGTGAAGAATTATAAATTTAATTAGAAAAAAGGCAAACTTAAAAGACCTCATTAACTAATCAGAATTTGATGTTACTGATTTAAGATTCGTAAATGGATGAATTTTAAGTAGCTTTGCTATCATTGTCTTTTTTTTCTTGCCGTGCACTATATAGTGCCCTGATCCACAGTCTGTATTAAAGAGTAAGAATGTGAATGTTATTTACAGCAATCAAATTATACAGACTAATACTTTTGAGGTATTAAGGAGAATATGTGTGTTATTTTTCATATAAGGCATTTTTAGTCTAAGCGGAGCGCAGGGTATGAAGGGTGAGTGACAGGTCTTTTTTTTTTTTTTTTTTTTTTTTTGGCTTTTTGTTTGATATGTGAGTTATGTTGCAGAACTTCAATTATCCAGAAATCTGTTGGCAAAATGGGAGAATGTATGAGAGCAAGCACACGCCACCCAGAACTGTTTTTATTCTATGAACTGGTCGTCGTAAGTGTGGTTCCTTACTACGTTGTAATTTTGTACTACACATAAAAAACTGAAAGCATGTGAAGTGTAGCATTTTGTAAACTGTAACTAATTTCACTCACATCTGTGTCTAATTGTTGTCTGCATTCGCATTCTTGAGAGTAGATTTATTTTTCCTGGACCACTCTGTGGATTCAGCTGACCAGCCTAAGTGAGGATTAGTTGTTTTAAAGTTATTTTGATTAAAGAGTCATTTTTAAATATGGTAACGTGCAACACATGGTTTAAATAATCCTTGAGACACAAAGGAATATATCTAAAGTATGTCTAATGAAAATGAAGATTGTGGATATGAACTTTCACAAATCATAGAGTGTTAGGGGACATATAAGGTATATGTTTAATTCACTATGAATGAGCTGGATTTTTTTTTTCCCCTCTCTCCCATGAATGTTAAATGAAATCTCTCTCGCTATACCCACACGTGCACGTATATTTATGTATTTTTAAGTGTACGGAAGTTATTTTTTTTTTTAATTTGGGTGAATAAAATAGTGAGGATTCATTGTATTTTAGAGTTTAGTGAAGTATGAATAATACTGTAGGGCACTTTGGAAAATAGCAGTTAATTAAAGCATCTGATTGAAAAAGGAAGTTTTTTCTATTATAAAAGGTTTGTCTTAAAGGATCCTGTGCAAGAGGGAGCAAAGATAGCTCTGTAAGCAAACTTAGTTCTCACCTATAATTTTTTCCAGGTGTTTAAAAGTAACAGCAGAAACATATCCCAAGGCACTCTGCTGCAGTTTCTGGGGTAAAGAACTGGAAAAAAAAAATTTAAAACAAAATGCACAGTTTTGAATGTATCTGCTTATCTAAGTTTGATTTGGCACGCGATGATGTACTGAAAAGCACATTATGCAGTACTTTAAGTACCCGGTTATAAAAAGATTGATGTTTTTCAGCGTGCATCATTGCGTGCTTCTTGACATCATTTGTAATGTTCTGCATTGCCTGGCTGCCCCTAGCAGTTGTTTACTCTTGCTAGTAGTAATTCTGTCTGTGATTAAAAATAACAAAAAAACCCCACCCCAAAACCCTACAGACACATAAGTAGGATTTGCTTGGATGATTTTTATGGCACTTAAAATGCCTCATCTCTCTTTTCTTTGCTCTGTGATCATTTAAAGAGACGTCAGTTCAGGTTGAATGGAAACACGCATCAAGGATTCTCAATGCAGACATTAAGAGGATATATACCTTGTCCGGAGAAGCTTTTGTGTGCTTTTAAGGCTAACAGTGTCTAGCAGTGTATCCTCACCTGAATTTTATCACCTGCTGACAATTGTTACTGGCTACAGAGAAGGGTCTGTTAGCAAAGCAGCAGTGTTTTTCTAATAGGATAAGAATATCTGTTACTCACCTGAGTTATAAAAGGAGTTGTTTTATTAAACTGGAAAATTATTACTGGGCTCCCCTGTGGAACCAGATTCCTTTTCTTGATGAGTGACCTCAGAGGTAAATGCTACAGCTTCCTCCTATTTATTTAGCCAGAAGTGTTCTTTTAAGTAATTTTATCCGAAATCTCATTAGTGACCAGCATTTTTACGAGTAAGACCTTGTGCGATAACATGTGGGGTTTTTATTTTAATTCTCCCTGACTGGAGATGGGCTCGTTTTGGAGATGGTTGCGTAATACTGTTGGTCATATATTGAAGATCGTTACCATAGGTAGACCTGCCCCTTGTTGTCCCCTCAAAGAATAGTGTTAGCCTCTCCGGCTTGCTTCGCCCTTTGCCTTTGGGGTGAGCTGACTTGTGGGTTCCCCACTGCCCAGGCGTGGAGGAAGGATGGCGAAGAGCAGAGGAAGAGGAAAGCCAATGTGAGGAGGGCAAGAAGCTGTCAAGAGTTAAGGGGATGGGAGGCAGACAGAACTCGGCCGGCCACAAGAAGAGGCGAGAGGGGGTGAAGGATGCTGGGGGGCTCGGGGCTGGAGCAGCCCC